CTACAGTTACTAATGCGTATGCTTCCAGAGGATAACGAACCAACTAATAGGAGACTGGAAACATCACTTTCCCGATATGAATAAAAAAACCCAACAAACGCCAATAAAAACAGGATTTATGGGAATTTACCAAGTTTCGATAGGACTCTTCAACTGCTGAATACTCTACATATATAGGAATATACATACTATCAGAAACTTATTGGCAGATATGTGATTGGTAAGTAAATGAACCACAGTAAATGAATCATGCAGAACGACAGGTGTGAATGTTTTTCAGGTCAAATTCGACTAAATAACGAGGAAGGGGGTACGAGAGATTACAGTCAAGAAAATAATGCGTTACGTTTCAGTTACATCACTTAAATAAGCAATCAGTCATCAGATGAAAAGCTTGAAAATGCCAGGAATTGCAAACTAAATAATAGTAATAATAATAATGGTATTGACTAAAGAAAGTTTTAATCGGGACAAGAATAATAATATGAGATACAATAAAATATCATTAATGATAACAGTAAATAAGACATATTACCATGTTAGATCCTAAGTGACTATCATTCACTTCCGTACACACAGACCAGATCTACAAACTCTGTCGTGACGACAGAATACAAGGGCCAGGTAATAGATCGTTTATTGATAAAATCAAGAGATTTTTATGTGCAATATTATTCGTTATTGTTAGCAGGGCGGTAACGTCTTCTGATTGGTTGCTTTCCTGCTGAAGGTTATTCTGTTATCTCTTTTTGACCGTTTCTTAGACAGTCTGGTGATATATCTGCGAATCGTATCCACCCACGCTAAGTCTGCTGTGATTGGTTGTTGAGTTCCCCAAGGTTAAGCTTTGTTCTTGTCCCGATTCGGGACGTAAACACTGACGTAAATTGGTGTCTACAATTTTGGCTAGCAGACAGCTCTCACCACACTAGTTACACAAGCCTCTACAAATGCAAGCATCTTTCTGCTTGTCTGTCTGATAACAACAGTGAATGACTTAGCAGCATTAATATCAAGTCCTCATTCTATGAGATGCATTATTATTGTACTTTTTGGTACTTAGACTTCAGATTTTTCTACAACCACTTCAGCAAATACTCCGTCATGCAAGTAGACAATCGCCTTTCTGTAAGACATATGTATTTGCTTCCACAAATACAGTGAAATTGATACACACAGTTTGAGGTGTCGACGATTGGTGACTAGTTTTTCCCAGACTGTTGAAGCACTCGATTAACAGTGTTTAAGAATACAAGCTTGGCATGGTAGTAAGTTCCTCCACTTCTTGTGTATCATATCTCTTAAATGGAAAACTGACCTATAATTTAATTTATTCTTTTTTAAAATTTTTCATGGTAGCTTGATTCCGCACAGTACTTTTGGTAGAAGTATGGAATTTCCAGCTTGTGATATCAGTAACCCAAATTTTGCAGACCGTCCACTGATATTGGGCGTGCGTTGGCAGGGGATCGAACCCAGGACCACGTGCATGGTCGGAGAGAGTCCTAACCACTGTGCCACCGACACACACACAAATTTCCTTGAAATGATTTTGATAGTTTTACAGGCTTTTATTTCTTTAGAATATTTATTGATAAACCTCTCTCAGGATATCCACTTTCATTATGGGTAAATTTTATTTTGATAAAGTCTCACAGTGTTATACAGTAATATTTACTGATGACGTTTCGAGCACAATTTATTGCTCATAATCATATCAAGGTAATCACACGACTTTGTAAATTCATTTATATAGTTCCATTGTTTTTCACTTGATTTTCACTTGATTTGATTGGTAGTAATATTTTCCATATTTCGGGTATGAGTGATGAATCATTTCTATTGCATGTGTTGGGTGTACATTCGATGAACCAGGATTCAGTAATCAGTCTCTCTCTCCACCTACCTAGATTACTTTTTAGAATTTTAACCCTCTCCCACCATGCTATTGTGTGGTTGTGTGTTAGTGCATGCATTGCAATTGCTGAGCTTTTTTCTAAATTACTTATCTTTTCTGGGTCAACCATTACTGAGTCCTTGTTCATCGAATGTACACCCAACACATGCAATAGAAATGATTCATCACTCATACCCGAAATATGGAAAATATTACTACCAATCAAATCAAGTGAAAATCAAGTGAAAAACAATGGAACTATATAAATGAATTTACAAAGTCGTGTGATTACCTTGATATGATTATGAGCAATAAATTGTGCTCGAAACGTCATCAGTAAATATTACTGTATAACACTGTGAGACTCTATCAAAATAAAAATTTACCCATAACGGAATTACACTCTACCACAGTGCCCAAGTTTTATTCTTAAATCAATATCCACTTTCAGATAAAAGAGATCCTTCACAGTGTTTATTTCATACTCACTTGTACTGTCAGAACAAATGTGCCATGCTTTATTGAGCAGTGTTCTAACTAGGTTCTTTTTAATACTAGATTGGAACAAAGCTCCTAAAGTGTATGCACTGTCTAGTCCATACATGAAGACATTCTTAATATGGATCTTTCTGCTGTGTCATCAAGTGTTTTCACCACAGAAACATCTCAGAATCCAATAGCACCATTTTACTTGTGTTCGATTGTGAAGTTACGATTAGGATGTAGTAAGTTGAATCTCCACAAATAGATTTTCCACCTCTGATTTACTTTCACGGACAATTGAAATATCATCTACATATCTTGGATTTAATTCCGTCTGTTGTATATACTGTAGCGAAATGACAACCTCTAGGTTTGACAGAAACAAGAGATGTAACCGAAACATAATCCATTATTATCCTAATTTTAATCTCTTATACGCTCAACCTGCAAAACATTCATAACTGTGGTTTTGCATGGTTGATTCAATGTAGTTTGTTTATTTATCAATCAAATATCTTCCTATGTATTTCTAATAGTATGTAGGACATTCAGCAGGTAAAGAATTCTACCGAAATTTGATAAATACTGCTTTATTATAATATTTTTGTTGCTCGTCTTGATAGACGATTTCATATTAGTTTGTTTATTAGATATATCACACAGTGAAACAGTATTATTTACTGGATGACGTTTCGAACACAGCTGATGATTGTTCATAATCATACCATCAATTATAATCACACAACTTCGAAACTTGAGTTTTATAGTCTGCTTTGTTCTCTCCTATTTGTTATCGTTGGGGTAGTAGAATCTTCCAGATGTCCAGCTAGATAGGTGTTGAATCATTGCTATTACACGTATTTGCAGTTGATTCGATAAACAAAGCTTCTGTTATCAGTCTCTCCCTCCACCCTGTGACATTCGATTTTAAAATTGTCATCTTATCCCATCCTATTGTATGGTTGTGTGTAATTGTATTTGGTGTCGTGATATAACTGAACTATCCTCCAGATTTCTTATAATTATAAGGGTCGACTAATCTAGATTTCTCTAGGTTTTTATACTCTGCTAGTCTGACCGACCCTGTTCTAGTACCTTTGTAACAACAGAAGACAAGGGTCAGGCAACAGATCGTTTATTAAAGAAATCAAAGCATATTTATATATTTTCATGTACATTATTATACATTAGTTAAGCATACAAGCACAGTCTTCTGATTGGTTGTTTCTCACTTAAAGTTAATCTTTCATCTCTTTGTGACTGTTTCTTGAATGTCAGATCATATATATGTTAACTGTATCCGCCTACGCAAAGTCTGCTGTGGTCGGTTTTTGAATCAGTCTTGTTCATATTTCCTCACGACCAATCTTGAGAACGTAAACATTGACGTCAATTACTGTCTAGCAATTTGGTTAGTAGACAGCTCTCACCACACCTTGACCTATGTATTTGACCTGACAATCATTGCGGGGTATAAGATATACTAAATTGTTTTATTTTAAAGGCTCCACAGGATCCTCTAACCGACAAAGCTTGTTACTCATTGAGTTTGAATGTCAGCGACTTTTATTCCTGCCTTTTTAAGAATTCTGTGTAAGGTTTCCGAGGTTCATTTTTTGCATGGAAGTACTACTGTTGATTTGCATTCCTTATTATTGGTGTTGTCACTATTCTGTGCATGTTTGACATGTATGTAGTCGTTAATATTATCACTATCACTAATTTTGTTTTTACACTTTCCTACATACTTCTCGATTAATTTATCAGGGTGATTATTGAGTTTCAAAGCTTCTCTTATATGCCTCACTTCCTGTCTTAGATTTTCCTTGGCACTATTTAGTTTTTGTACCTTATTAATTAAACATTTCACCAATCCTATTTTACTGAAATAAAGTGGGGTAATCGGAAATGCAAATATCGGTGTGGGTTTCCTGCAAACGCTTGTGTTCAACTTCCCATCTGCTTTCTTTTTTATGCTACAATCTAGCATTAGAAGCTCCTCTTCCTGACTTTCCAATTCATTAGTGAGTTGACTTGCTTCCATCTTCAAGTTGATGTATTCAAAAAATCTATTTATGTCCTGTGTTCTAAGTACGGTGAATGTGTCATTTACATACATCCAGGATACTTTTAGGGTAGGGCTGAACTTTTCAATCGCTAAGTTTTTCCACCTATCCATGAATTTATCTGTCACAATCGGGAATATTGGCGATCCCATGGCAACTCCCTCAGTTTATTTGTATATTTTCCCCTGGAATTTAAATACTATGGAAGTCAGGCATAGCTACACTCCCAGCATTATGTCCTATAGTGACACTTTTGTTCTAGGTTCAAGTTCTTGGTGTACAAATGAGTTCACTTTTGACTGCCTCGATAGCCATATTTATTATCGGTATACTTGTGCATATATTCTGACAATGTCAAAATTAACCATTTTCTTTCCTCACTATCTAATTTTAAATTATATAATCCTTGTTTTAGTTCACAAGAATTTCTTAGTCTACATTTTGAGTGGCTTCCAAGAGAGGATTTAATTGAAGACTGTTTGTACAAGAAGCGTATGACAAGCAAACCGAGAAGTCAAAATACCAATTGAAACATTGAAAATCTTTTTTTTAAATTTATTTGTTACAATCTTTTGACCTTATATAAACATATATCGTCATGATGAAAAAAGGAAGTGCCAAACTGAGAAAATCACTTCCAACTAAAAGACAGAAGTCACATAGTCGCATTGATTTTTTTTGGTGAAACCAAGAAATAAATTAACAAAAGGTTTAAATTAGGCTAAAATAATGAAATAAAAGTATGTATGCAAATGATGAGTAGAGTTCAACTTGAAGAAAAGAAAAAGAAGAAACGGACACGTGATTCGATTCAAGGTTTTACATTATACAATGAGTACAAGTATAGTGTTAAAGAATAAATAGCAAAAGAGATTCTTGGGATTTTGATAATTACAGTCATAATGATTAGTATTATGCATTTGTGTGTGTGCGTGTGTGTGGAGAAATGAAATATTATTCATGGTGGTGGTTCTATCACCATATCCGAGTGATGTACTTTACGACCACCCAATTCTAGCAAGAAACGATCACCAGATTCTTGCCATGAATCATTTTTCAATTTTCTTTCTTTAGCTTTCATGACCTAAGGATGAAAAGAACGATGCGCGGTTAGTTAGTTAGTTAGTTAAAATAACTATTCAGAATGATTGTGATCAGTGTGAGCGATGAATATTTCATTTTGACACCCTCTGCCTCATTATCAGGTTCTGAAGTTATACCTAATAGCGAATTATTCTTATTATATGGTTGGAGGCAATCGGCCGGCCATAGGAAACCCTGCTTGGACCTACGTTTCGTGCTAATTGACATTCATCAATAGTCAGCAAGGCGTATCTGCAACCTTGAAGGAACCCACCTTCCCATCCCTCTCAAGGGATTCGAACCCACGTCGCCCAGTGCTGCAGTCAGAAACGTTACCGCTGAGCTATTCGAACTCGCGGATACTCCTTGCTGACTACTGGTGAGTGCCAACTAGCCCGAAACCTAGCTCCAAGCAGGACTTCCTATGGCTGACCGATTGCCTTCAACCATTTAATATCAACAGTTGAAAGTGCACCGTGATGGCGAGCCACCTAGTGGCATGCTGGCCATATTGCAAACTTGACTCATAGAACTCAATCTGAAGTAAACAAAGGACAAAAGACACATTACACTAATTACTGACTAATGTCAAATGAAAAAAAGAAGAAAATTGTTATAGACAGTAATAATGTGCTTTTTAAATAATACGTGAGGCAGTAACTTAATCGAAGAATACATTGCGAAGTGGTTGCGCTATGTCATGAATTGGCAGAAGTTGGAATTCATGGACTGGCCATAGGATCGGGTCCCAGTGGTTTAATGGTCTACGAGCTAGCTCGCCATGTAACCAGAAGGTCGTGGGTTCGAGCCCCGGTGGATGGGTGCGTACTGATGAAGAGTCCCAAACTAGACTGATGAAACAGCTGTCCAATACTCCCAGCTAGTTTTTCGAAGGTTCTCTAACTGACGTCAGCTCATGATGAAATCCTCCAACTAATACGGAATCATTAAGATCACTTGATTACAGTTCAAGACAGTGTGTGTGTGTGTGTGGAATAATATTCATGAATGCAATGCTAAAATGAATATCAGATAAACTAAGGAAAAGTAACAGAGAATTTAAGAATTTATAGATTTGATACCAGGGTCAAAGTAACAAAATCGGTAGCAGGATCTATTTCTTTTACAAATGAATTGCGATGGACTCTGTTGTTTGGCGTTTCCAATGTCTGCATAGACCCTCGGCAATTTATTCCGTGCCTGCATAGATAATAGAAAAAGCTTCTCTCTAGTGTTGGTTTTGTGACCTACTTGGAGTAGATGGTCTAATATCGAACTCTTGATGGTGTATATTACACTTTTATTCAACTACAACACTGGTAGGTGTTCTCGAGGAGGAAAAACCACATTCCTAGAGTAATGGCCAATATAACTGGCTATAAAGGAGTAGCTGAATTGATAGATAAAAGAATAGATGGTGCAAAAACACCATGAAGCCGGTACTGAAGAGTCTTTTTCTATTATCTATCATACACCAAAAAGATTTCTAATGGATTCTAGACGTCGAATACTCCAAACATCAGAAGCTATAACAATTTGCTTAAAATAAAACCAGAACTATGAGCACAAAACAAACAGATCCAGCCACTACTGATACCTCAACCTGCTAAGGAATTTTAAAATCACAAGTTTCTCATTATTTTTATTACTTCATCTGATATACAATTTAGTGTTGTATTGATGCGCATTATCATATATACGCATGCCTTTGAACTGTAATCTGTAGATTCGATGGTATTTTTTTTTTAGAAAAAAAGTCAATTATCCTTTAACTGCTATGGATATATAGCAACAGAACTTGATGAGCAAACAGTTACTGAACGTAATATTCTTTGTTCACTATTAAACAGTTTTTTGAAATTCCTAATTGGGCATCTTCACTCAAAAGACAAAATAAAATAAACAACAACAAATACATTCAATTTTTATTGTTATTTATTAAAAATTCTGGCTAGTGAGTAACTTTAAACACTTGACTTATAGCCAATGGATCTCGAGTTCAAGTCCTATTTCAAATCAACTTCAACTCACTAAGCAATTTGATGGTAGTATCCTCAGTCCTTATACACCAAATCTGTGTGACTCATAGCCTGGCGTAAATGAGAGATCTCTCTTCCGCGTAACTGAGAGTTCAAGCAACAACTTAAGCATGAACATAGCAGTCATCAGGATTATTATTATCCAACAAACTATAATAGAAATGATCACATGCTGTTACACAACTACACGATTTTACGATGAAGCTATTAAAATGGAATAACAGTATGCTATTGGTATTATATAAAAGACAGATGTGTTGAATTGTTTGTGTTTGTGTGTGGTGGTTCCAAGTGATCCGGTTCTCTGGGATGAGTCAGCGTATGCCCGATCCATCTCCATTTTCTCCTACATATTTGTTGAGCAATCGGATCTTGGTTGGTTTGTTGCCAGAGTTTCTTATCGCTGATTCTTTCTGGTCGGCCATTTTATCTTTAGTGTAGAGCCAGTGAAGCGGGCAGCTATCGACAAAAGTATGCTGTGGCCTGTTGGAAATGCTTTTTGTGACACGCAGTGCAAGTTTCTGGCCCCTATGAAAGAAGTGACTGAATTCACATTAGTGTTAGAAATCCGAATCTTGTTCTTTATGCTGAAGTGAAGTGCAGAGGATTTCCAAACTGATTTCAAATTGATGAAGGCGTATCTTGTCATTCCCAATTCTGGCTTTAACATCTTCATCCGTTATGCGCCTGTGGTTGAAGCAATGCATTCTAGATAAGTGAATAGAAGTAACCTCTGTTAAATCTCTCCTATTGATGGTGATTGGCACCGGTTGTTGTTTTTGTTGCTGTTGATTGGTTGGTTGGTTAATTACCTTAATCACCTCCGTCTTCTCTATGTTTGCCCAGAGTCCTGTCTTCGCTGCTTGCTGCTTCTTCAGCCATTTTTGTCGGTTTTCGCCTTGCCTAGTTTTCTAGCCGATCCCGAACCCGGGAAAAGAATGAGGGGAGTTAAGCTTGGGGCTTGAGGGACCCTACCCCCCAGATAACCAATCAAACTGCTACAAAAAACTTCAACGCACAAGAGAAATATTAAAAATACAAAAGTAATATTACTAAAGCTGGAATTTACAAAATCTCAGCTTGTATACATAGTAACTTAACCATAGTTCTTCAGCATGAGATAGTGTTTTTACGTTATTAATTGGATGAATCGATAAAAATAACAAAAAATAATTTGCAGATTGTTGACATTGATGAATATATGAATTATAAAAACATGATGTGTTTACTTAATGAAATTGCTTTATTACAACTGGATTGATTTTGTCGATTTATACGAAGAGGTATTGGGTGCAGATCAAATTCTGCCTTAGTTGTTATTCCTATTCAGACAATTTGGATTCTATTTAATATGAAGTGTATGTAACTAACATAAGACATCCATTATGATGATTTTTTTATAAATGTTGTGGCTTGATTGCATAGCATTGTATAGACCACCTATAGACGAGGACTTTTCAAATTTCCCTAGTTCCAGTGGATTTCTCCTCAGTGGTCAAATAGACTATCTATAGGATATTAATAATTTTGCCTAACGTTGATTCCTTGACAGGTTCACCTGACAGAATATCATATATACCCAGTATCCGAATTTGTTTTCAAACTATTAAATCTGGATAAATTTAGTAGAAGATCACCACCAGCAGTAGACTTTAGTATGTGCATTTCGTCCTGTTTGGGACTCATCACCACATCCGCCAAATTACCTTGAGTTGATTCTCAGTTTTGCAAGTTATTTATCCATGTTGCAATGTACACAGTTCGAGGGATGAAATTTTTGCCCAAATTTTCCTTTGGAAATCAAATTACTCAGATTGCACAATATATGTGATCTGTTTGGGATCATAAGTAATGATCAAGAAAGCAAACATAAATGCGTGAAACAATATACTACTGGTTGACTGGGACGAGTAATTGCATTCCACCCATATCAACCAGCAGTGCTTACTAGCTAGTCGGTTCAAACCACACCCAATTTCTGGCTAGCTATAATTGAATTAATTTCCAAGTAGTGAATTTGATTCATGATATCATCACCAGTTCGCGCTCAAGCAGCTGACCAGAAATCAGGTGTATGGTTTGAACTGATTCTGCTTCCTGGGCTGACTGAAGACTGGGTACACTGATGATGAGCTCACAGCTGCAAACAAGTGAAACGTTTGCTTGGTGTGTTTAGATCACCTCAATCTAATCTGCCTACTATCAAGCACTGTTAGTAGTTGATATGAATGGGATACAACTACTCATCTCAATTAATCAGTAGTATATGATTTTATGCAAAAATATGCTTAATCCCCAATCATCATCACCCTTCCTAAGAGCCGACATGTCAATAAAGACCGAACATGTCGGTTCAGGTCATACAACAAATGGAATAAATAACCAGTATATTATGAATTGAAGATGTACGTTATGTACACATACATTGTCATCATTTTATCAAGATATGACTTGATTGTACAGTCGTATTTATACTTACCAAAAAATATATAGTGGTCCATTATTGAGTAATAGAGAGTGACATAATTGATATAATTACTTGGATGTGGCTTTAGAAGCGAAAGTTAAAAGTTGTAAATTACGCGGTAATCAACAGCACAAAGATAGAAATTTGATAAGATTAAAATTGCAATTGAGTGAGAATAAAGGTAGTTGAGTGTCAGTTTAACAAGTGTTAAGAGGGTGTGAAAATGTACAAAAGGAGCACATGAGAGTGATAATAGTGAATTAATTATTGAAGCGAAAGCAAACTAAAAGTAAAATTAAAAAGAAAAAAAATCAAATTTTCCTTTTTTACAGGAAACGACTAGTGAAGATCACTGAGGAAAGCCTTCTTTATGACTGAGCTACGTATCAATTTCTACAGTCGACAAATGATCAATGGATGTGTGAAGGATAAACTGCTGCTTTGGGCCACTTAAATGTGTGTTTATAAATTCCCCTGCTCGTGTGGAGCTAGTTATATTGGCCGCACAAAGCGCACACTTTCCAAACGCATCTCTGAACATTATCCGGCATGGTTAGCAAAGGGACAATGTAAAACAATTACTAGCTCAATTCTCGGGCATTTGGTGAACTCAGGCCACGCAGCTCCACCAGAGTCGTCTTTCAAGATCATCTACAAGGTGAGGCCAAATGGTACAATGGGCGTCAGGTTTCGGTTTTTGTGAACGGCGGAGGCGCTAGCAATTCGTCAATACAACCCCGAACTCTGTATACAGAAAAAGTTTGTCCAGTCTCTTATTCTACCTTGGTCTTAACCTCTTCACTAGTCGTTCCCTGTAAAAAAGAAAATTTGACTTTTTTCTTTTTTTAATTTTACTTTTAGTTTGCTTCAATAATTAATTCACTGTTATCACTCTCATATGCTCCTTTTGTACATTTTCACACCCTCTTCATACTTGTTAACTACCACCTTTCTCCTCACTCAATAGCAATTTTAACCTTATCAAATTTATATCTTTGTGGTGTTAAGTACCACGTAATTTAAAACTTTTAACTTTCACATGACTTGATTGTTTACGCCTTCTGTTTCCTATACGAGTCAATTTTATTGCATTCAACCTATGTAAAAAGAAAGCCTTATGATCAATAGTTTGTTTGTATGAAGCTGTCTGTGGTCACCATTGTTAATCATTGTGTGTAGAGGGTATGATGATTGAATGCTTGCGACCCATCCAGAGGGCTTGGCTTCGCCGACGCACTGCTATACCTCACCTAGACGGTAGTAAGCTGCGAAAAGAGTGTAGGTTGTATATGGGGCTAGCAACCGCATCCCGGTAAACACGAAAATATCATCATCGCTAATCAAACTCCAGATGGAACGCAGAGAATCGGTCGGTCAGTCGGTTTTCGACATAGAACTTTGCATATATGTGCGGCAGTTCAAGTCGCCACACTCCATGTAGCACAAAAAGCAAGAGAAGAAAGTAGGAGAAATGCATAATATACACAGTAAACAGAGGTGTGAGACAAAAGAATAGTAATAACGGAGAACAAAACAGTTTCATCGGAAATCATAAGTCACAAGGAGTGGATGCATCTGAGCTAGCCATTGAGAACGATTTTGAGCCATGTCACCGATAGTTTCCAACCATTGGTTTTTACCGTCCCGAGGACCCCAACCAGGAAGTCTACATCTCCCTACGTGGCTTAGACTAACTGTTGTGGATTTCATTGACTGGTGCCATGTTTTCGTTTGACCGCCGCTAGCTCTTTTCCAGCCTGGCCCTATATCAGCTAACATTGCCCGTCGAGGAAGGCGATGACTAGGCATACGTAGCACATGTCCTAACCATCTCAGTCGATGTAATTTCACAGTTTCGTCGATTGATTTCCGGACGCAGAGAATGGAAAAAGGTGTGTGTGTGTATGGTTATCGGCACAAAACTGTAAACTATAAATCAACTTGCCTCTTTTGATTCCCATTGTTTTTGATCTTTTAACTTTGATATATGATGATCTGAACCAGCTGCCCAAACTTCAATTGAAGTTAGCCGCATTGATAGACCAGCATTATATTTGATTTCATTGAAATCTTCAGATACTTCAATGACAGGTGTAATCAACGGTTGATGTCCAACAAGTAGGCCACGTTTTGATGTTTTTGTACTGAAGTTTGCATAAATTATGCCAGAATCTGTGCCTAAGTTGCCAGCTTCAACGATAATAACAAAAGGAATTAGTTATGAGGAGGGGAAGAAGACAGGTTAATAAAGAGGAACCATTAAAATGTGAGTGAGTAGTAATAATATTATTAATTACAGTAAGATTATGCATTTTTTTTTATGGATTTGGATGGATTTCAGCATAGATTTCGTTACGAACCAACCTCAGTTAGAGATAGTTGAAAGCCAACAGGAAGGCGTTGAAGAGTTGTTTCGTCTTAGTTCTTGACTCCTCTTCATTAGTAGTCCACACTCGTTACCCCACCAGGAAGCGAACTCGGTTCGTGACGAAATCTACTTTGAAGTCAATTCAGATATCGATCTCCAGCTCATTGACGGCTAATGGATGGATGTGCTGAAACTGTACTGCGAAGTCATGACCAGTGAGGTCTATTATGTCTCAACGAAGACACTAAATGAGGGTAGCCTCGTATCACGAATTAATAAAGGTAGAATCCGAAAGTCATTAATTTCCAGCCCAAGTGGCTGAGTGATTAATGAGCTTGTTCTCGTAACCTGAAGGGCCATGAGTCCTATGCCTGGTGGAGTGGGGGGAGTTGTGGGTTTGCACTGCTGAAGAGTCCCCGACTGGAATGAAACGTCTTTTCAGTGCTCTTTGGTTTTCAACAATCTCCGTAAGTGATGTTGGTTTATGATGAAATCTGCATTGGAAATAATTTCAGTAAAAATTATTATATAATTATTGTTTCCTTTAATTCCTAGAGGAACATAGGGCTTCAGCCGTGCGTCTCCAGTGCATTCGGTTCTCTGCTAGAGTTTTCACCTGGCTCCAAGTCTGCCCACACCTTTTCATCTCCTCTTCACATGACCTCCTCCAAGTCACCCACCCTAGCACTGACGACCAACTCGCCGCTTCCCTTTCGGGTTCCACTCGAGCAATGGCTTGTCTAGTGATGTCACTTGATGGTTTCCTCAGAGTATGGCCAATCCATCTCCATTTCTTCCTGCCTATTTGTTTCACAATCGGTTCCTGCTGTGTTGGTTCGCTCCCAGAGATCCCTCCCTGTTGCTGATCTTTTCTGGCCATCTGATCTTGAGTAGTATTGAGTGAAGACAACTGTTAATGAAGGTCTGTAGTTTGTTTGAGATGCTCTTCATGACGCGCAGTGCAAGTCTCTGATCCGTATAGTAGCACTGACTTCACATTGGAGTTGAAAATCCGGATCTTATTTTTGATGCTGATTGCTGTTGACCTCCACACAGACTTGAGAGTAGTGAAAGCTAGTCTTGCTTTTCCGATTCTTGCTTTCATATCCTCGTCAGTTCCGCCTGTAGTTGAAACGATGCTTCCCAGTTCAGTAAAAATAATAGTAGCTTTATTCTACACAAAATGTTTACATAGTGTACAGGATCCTCGGAGTGATTTATTGCATAATAGTTTCTCTTTATTCACGATTTTCAAGTAAAATAGCGAATTAAAGTATATCACATGAAGTAGAGCTGTTCGATCCGAAGCATAGAGGGCTACTTCTTTATGATGTTTATTTTGTCACCCTATCACTATTAATTTGTTATACTACTTAAAAAATATGTATCTACCGCATAACTGTCCCAATTGTCCCAATGATGACAAATACTATATTTTTTATATCTGTAAGAACCAGAAGAGAGGAGAATTTAATCGAAAACAATATTTTTCGTTATTTAGACCAGTACTCAATTCATGACAATTGTATTGCTTTTATTTCATCCCTTTACGTTCTTAGTGGTTTGAAGTTTCGGTAGCAGTGCTATTTAGTTTTACGGGATGATGAGGTTGCTAGTGTCTCACTCCCAACCTTTCTCCCTCTTCACCAATCTTATCACCGGCTTAGCGAGGTAAACCAGTGAGTCGACCAGGGATTGAACCCCAGCCGGACCACATATGTGGTTTGGCGAACATTCTAACACTGTGCCACCGACGCCTTAATACATGATAATGGTGTTTAATTTTTCCAGTAAGTTGTGAAACTTAAGATTAAAATATATGCAGTTACAATAGACAGTATTTCTGTTTAATTTCATCATAGATGTACTGATGGACTATACCCCAGCTAATTTCAGCGACGCAGCGATTGACTTATTACCAGGGAATAGTCTCGTCGACTTAGAATATGCAGATGATATAGCCTTCCCTTCTAGGTGAATACTCTGACAAAGTGCAGAGTCTTCTGAACACCTTGAGTAGCAATCTTCAAAAGTTTGATTATGCGATTCGCTCCTGTCAAATATAAGATGATGCTACAGGACTGGACATGGAGTTACGCATATCTAGCCACCCATTGCCTTCATCGACGGGCAATGTTAGCAGCTGACATAGGATGGATCAGATTGGAAAAGAGTTAGCTAGTGGTGTTCAAACGAAAACATGGCTTCATCGGCCAATCAAATCCACAAGAGTTAGTTTAGGCCAGGCAGGCACTTAGGGATGTGTAGAGTGCTGCCTGGTTGGGGTCCTTGGGATGGTAAAAACTAATGGTGACTGGAGACACTTGGTGAAATGCCTCAAAATCGTCGTTCTCGATGGCTGGCGTAGATGCATTCACTCTGTGATTTGTCATATCTAATAAAACCCTACTATTCTCCCTTATTACTATTTTTATCCCCTCACACCTCTGTTTATATTCTCTCTCTATCTCTTTTGAATCTCTCTTCTGTTGGTGTGTGCTACAAGGAGGGAGTGTGGCGACTCGAACTGCTGTACATCTGTGCAAAGTTCTACGTTGAAAACAGTTAGTCAGTCAGTCAGTCAGTCAGTCAATAGATAGTATGATAATAAAGCTAATATTTACACTTATCCAGTGTTACCGGGAGCGAAAATTACTCTAGATTTGTGAGGGTGGGGTGAAGGCCATGGAGGGAGAGAGGGAAAGGGAATCGATAAATTTTTTCGGAACACATAGATTAAGTATATGTGAGCCATAGAATCCATGGGCGATTTCCTTTTTTCGATGATGATCACACTTAACTGACGGTTTGCTAAAAATCGCTGAGTCACCTTGATTTTCATATATCACAGTGCATCATAGTTTCTCTAATTGTGATTGTCTTAACCATTCAATTATTTCCTCGAGTCGAGGAAAACTACTCAGGCACACTTTTTTTACTGGCTTTCCAACCTACCAGTACACATTTCCCGGAGAAGAAGGGGAAATACCATAAGGGATTAGTTTGTGCTCCGGATCAGACTGCATTGCGTCACATGGCATACTATGGATTGCTGTCTTACTCGAAAATCCTGGCTGAAGAGAAGATATTGTACAATAAATTGCGCAGAGAATCTTGTACATTGTCATAAACAAGGCCTATTTACCTCTTCCTAGATCGTGGTTACGAAGAGGTGGAAGTTAGGCTATTGGAAGCTTAATAATTGAACAATTGGTCGATACTGGTCGTCTTATCTCCTACAGCCTCTTCCTTTAAAGTTATCTATAAGTTGAAGAATAAGCCACCAAAATTATTATGTGTCTGACTCATCTGTAATGCTGAAGCTCTAGTGCCATCGAAACAGAAGAGCCAGAGCTTTGTATAGAGAAAATGCTTTTTCAACCACTCCTTCTTTCATAGCCCTAATCCGTCCGGGCTAAGGTATTTTCCACCCTGATCCCATCTATTTTTCGCTTTGTTAAGTGAATTTTTAAATCCTTTCCTTTTCATTTCGATTGCTAATCACAAATTTCCCTTCAAATTTTCTTTTGAATAACGAAGACATTATGTAAGGCAGAAGGTATTACAGCTATGATGAATAGGCATTTAAGGAAATGAGATTTAAAACCCTTTGTTTCTTGGTTAGATTTACATTTTCAACTAGAATGTCTATCATTCCCATAAATTCTGAAGAAAAAGGATAATTCCCTAATCATTTTTTGGCAGGCGTTGGGTCGAAGGAGCAAAAATGACAACATTATTCATACGATGATTGCATTCATTACTTAAACAACTGAAGTTAAACAAGGGACTTACTCAGCAACTGATACTCCTATCGGCTAAGCTGATATAGACAATCTAGAAACAATTCGGTTGGAACTACTTGACCAATGATGGTCTTATTTTCATTCCTTTGCATTCTGAGGGGAACATAAGGCTTTAGTTTTTAAGCTTTTTTATGTTCCTATAGTGATGGTGTTTTTCTTAATGCCTCACGCCTGCCAACTTTCCCTCTCTTTCAAGCTTACTACTATCTAAGCATCAGCTAAGAGTCTAATCCGGACTACGTGAGTTGTTGGTGAGTACTCTCCTACCGGTGAACCACTGAGACCCACTAACAAAAGTTCAATTATAAATCTATCAAACTCTGCTTTTCTTTTGAAATATTAATTTGTATTTCTGTCACAAAATTGAAATAAAATTTTACAGACTTACAGACAAGTCGAGTGAATGTTGGTTGGATTTGATATAAGAATGAATTTCCTCCACCGAAAGGTTTCAATGATTCCCTGTGATAAAGAAAAGAGATGCAAAGCGTTAGAGTATACAATAATTCATTACTGCTTAATTATATACTTCGAAAAATCTTGTCAAAGTCAGATAATCAATCACCTGTTGCGTGGCTAGCAGTGGAATGCAGGCAGGACATGAGTTTTATCCCACGTGGGACTCGCCAACTGGATGTACCTGTAATCCCCAGTGAGAAATAGTGTTCCCACTGGAAGTTGAATGCAGCGCTCATCGTTTCGAAAACCAATACATCCTTTACTAGACCACTGGATCAGTACAGTGATTATTGGATGAAACTGCTCCTTTTCAATTTCTAATTAAATGATTCCGTTGGAAGGAAATGTTCGGTCTGTGTTGATATGTGAGTTCCTAGGACGGACACTTCGACGATACCTTGAAATATACATGGTGGTGACTAGAAGTGGAATCGAACACGCATCTTTTATCCTAAGCAGCAACTTATTCATCTCAAGGCATCTTTTGAGCGTCAAATACTAGGGGCTGACATGTTAACACAGACCGAGTCTTTCAGTAAAGTCGGTCATTGAGCGGGAAAATTTAATTGTGAAGATTTCATTGGCCATCTAAGACAACATCTTCAGCTCAAGCTTTAATATGAGGCTAATTTTATTTGAATTATTTCTCCATGAACAATATAATTATATCTCCTGACAACTTTTGCTGTGATTGGTTGTTAATTTGCCTCTGTATGGATCATTTTTTTTGAATTCGAATTTAATTTGTTTGATAAGTGCCAACTAGCACGGAACCTAGGTCCAAGCTTCTTGTGGCCGATTTCGTCCAACCATATAATACCAACAATTCACAGTGTACCATGATGGCGAACCAACTAATATGGTGGCCACATTGCAAACTTGTCTAATAGAAATCAGTCTGCACCAAAGATAGGACTAGACACACACATTACACTAGTTAATGACCACTGTCCAATCAAAAATACCCAGTACAGTCCTACAGGAGGTCTAGTGGTAACGTCTCTGACTACAGCACTAGGTGACGCTGGTTCGAATCTCAGATGGGACATAAGCTTCTTCGAGGTTGCAGATACACCTTGCTGATGAGTGCCAACTAGCACGAAACCTAGATTCAAGCAGGGCTTCCTATGTGGCTGGCCGATTACCTCCAACCATCGAATACCAATAATGTGTCTGTTAACAGTCTCGTCATCTGAGTAGAAGGCTTCTACGAATCCCCGGGCATTTTAGTGTCTATGCTGTTTAAAATGTCTACGTTTTCTCCTTAGTCAAATCAGTGTGTTCATAGTTGTCTTGTCTACACATGCATAGATATGCAAGAAAATATTTATTTTTATTTTTTGTTTTTTTATTTTTCATTTTGATTACTGCTTGATTCCACACCGTATTTTCAGTACAAGTATGGAATTTTCAGCATGGATATCGGTAGCCCAAATTTACAGGCCAACCATAGATATCGGGTGTGCGTCGGCAGGGGATCGAACCCCTGACCATGTGCATGGTCGGCGAGAGTCCTAACCACTGTGCCACCGACGCAAAATATCGTGTCTTTTGACGGCTAGCTTATACTTTTGGATTTTCGATTCGAAGAAGACGCCCACTTTGACCAACACTTAACTTTTAACAATTGATGCAATTTATTTTGTGGGTGGTGTTGATACTTGCTTCTTCTTTTATTATTGGTTTGCTTTTGGTCTGCATAATATTGATGAATGAAGTGATTGTATAGGTTGATAACGTCTATTCTGAGCGGTTTCAGTATTCTAGCCGTTATTCCAGTAATATTATATATATATATATATATATATATGAGCTGCAATACATGTGTTTGATAACTCCATAGTACTCTATTTTTAAAAATTAAAATATAACTGATAGACATGTATACGTGAATATTTTAACACGATTCAATATTCAATGTCAAATGAAACACTGACCGATTGAACTCGTTATGCATCATTCAGAATTATAAAAAAAAGAAAAATATGCTCTCAGAAAACTCATGCCTAATGGAATCTTTGTCTCTCTCTCTCCTTCTGTGTTTAGAGTAAAGACATTAAGCATGTGGTTAAATTGATTGTCTGTAAACCTAATAGTCATGTACATTAATTACAAAATCAGTAATTAAACACTACATAGGAATTCAAACTTCTTTGACAGTTTCAGTAGTAATGGTTTTCATGGGGGTGGGGATTTGTTAGTGTCATACGCAAATCTTACCTCTTTACCAGATTTACTATTGGTTAGTGAATTGACTGACATATAGGAATGTGTCAGTCAAGAGTCGAACGCTAGACCACAAGAGTGGTTAGCCAGCAACCTAGCGCCGAACTATCAACGCAAAAATATCATATTGATAAATAAAAATTTAGATTAAAAGGATGAAACTTCTTCATTGGAATATAACTTTGGAAAAGTTGTTCACTTCAAGTAGAAAGCTTAAACGAACACACACACATACACACAGAGAAATGAACAATTTAGAGAGTGATGCATTCGAGGATGAAAGCAAGTCGTCAATATCGTTAGAAAATTCAATAAACAAGTCAATGTGGGGACTTATTACAAATAATACCTTTTTGTTCAGTTGTTTTTCTGCAGGGATTTGATTGATTTCACATTAGATCAAGAAGTGACTTCAATAAGAGAACTACTGAAAACTAGGTAGTACTGGAGAGCCGTTTCATCTTTGTTTATGACTCTGCAGCAGTATGCACCCATGACTTCCCTAGGGATCAAAGCCACAACCTTCAGGTTACAAGGTGAGTTCGTTTACCATTCAGCAGATTCTGCAGTCAGTTCGCCAGGAAACTTGACTCAAGGACAAATACTTGCCGACCACACTGGCTGCCCGGCGAACAGTGTGTTGTTAAATGGTAAGGGTTCGAATCCATGGACTGGCCATCTGATGTCGTCATAGTGGCTCAATGCTCGATGAGCTCGTCTTGTAACCTTAAGGTTCCATGTTTGATCCCTAGCGATGGAATCATCAATGCGTACTACTGAGGAGTCGCAAACGAGGTTTTCAATGGTGTTCTAGGTGAAGTCAATTCTTGATCAGTTTTGAAATAATAATCCCAGCAGTAGCTTAAAGTCATAAGGAAATAGCAGGGGAATAAAGATATCAAAATTATCCAATATCTTGGGTGAAGCTACGAGGTGCCAATGAAATGTGTGTCAATGAAAATGGTTAGCTTAAAATTTTCAACAAGCATGTGTAAATCTGGTAGCACAGCTGAATGGCTCATTGGTCTAGGCGGTCTACTTCTAACCGAAAAGTCATGCCTTCGAATCCCGCACTCCACCAACCAAGGTTTGGGCAGCCAATTAGTGTCACTAGTCCTCACACAACACGGAGTGCCCCAAAACCTTTATCAGCTTCATTCAACAGTTATATGACAATGCGACATGTCAAGTAATTCACAAAGGAAAGCTTAACGAAGTCTTTGAAGTGAAGACAAGTGCATGGCAAAGCTGTCTACTAATACCGATGATGTTCGTAATTATGGTGGACTGGATCATGCAACAGACTGTGGGGAGCGAAATGGTAGGAATATGTTGGACTGATAAGAAGATTCTAGAAGATCTGGACTCTAAATGTCCTACGAACTTAAAGGTCTACAGTCGAAAATCATCAAGTTGGCAGGAATAGTAGCAAATACAGGACTACGCAGGAGTATAGAGAAGAGAGAGTTGATAAGGATAACTAACCAACAATAACAAGCACCAGTGCTGCAGCACTGGGTGACGCTGGTTCGAATCTCAGAAGGGACATCAGTTTCTTCAAGGTTGCAGATACGCCTTGCTGATGAGTGCCAACTAGCACGAAACCTAGGTCCAAGGCTTCCTGCCGATTGCCTCCAACCATCTAATAATAACAAGCACCATTAACCAACAACGGGAGAAATTTGAATGTCATTCCTTTCATTTATATCTAGGCAGCATAGTTACAACCACACATGGATTTTATTTTTCGGTAGTGTTCAAGTTATTTAAGTGCACATGAAACGTCACAAAATCCTGTAAAATTAATCTTCAAATGTTGGTTTGCAGGGATTTGATTTGATTGGCTACAAGATTTCATTATGAGCTGACATCAGTTCAAGAACCATTGGAAAACCACCAAGGAGTACTGGGCAGATGTTTAGTCCCAGTCAGGGCTCGAACCCAAGACCCTCCGTCTACAGGGTAAGCTCGTTTACCATTCAGCAGTTTATCATGAAACTTGACTCAAGGACAAATACTTGCCGACGACATTGGCTGAAGGTCGCGGTATATCGTGAATTGGTCGAAGTTGGAATTCATGGGTGGCCATTGTATCGGCTCGCAGTGGCTTAATGGTCTACGAGCTCACTTCAATGACTGGGAGGTCCTGGGTTCGAACCTTGACGGTGGATGCGTGCTGATGAGGGGTCCCAAACTAAGAAGAAACGCCTATACAATACTCCCAGGTTTTCCAATCGTTCTCCAACCGATGTCAGCTTATGACGAAATCCTGAAACCCGTATATTTATGTTTCCTATAGTTTCTTTTTATTCACGGGTTTTTTTCTACCTGTGTAATTTCATGAAGTGTAGTAACTTGAAGTTTTCCTGCATTTTATGCGAATTTCTAAGTTATAAATTTGGTTGAGTAACAGGCCTAAACACTTGGCGAGTAAGCAGTATTCAGACTGTTTCAAGCTTTCAAACATGCACAATGCGGATAACCTGAAAGTGTCAGCAACTAACCCAAACATTTCCAGACGTACACAAAGAGCACCTAATCCCAAGATGTTATCATAATGATATTCAGTTCAATGAACTATTGTGTAAAAGCATCGAATTACCATTCGTCTGTACTTGACATAATATTATCATTATCATTTAATGGGTTATTTTATGCAGTTAAAGCTCTTATTTCACATTAAAGTAGGCACTGAAGGTTTTGTCTAAAAAGATGATGAAGGCTTCGCAAAATGAAACATGAAGCTGTGGGGAACAAACACACACACACGCTATAACAACATCCACCTGAGCTACAAATTCTCCCCCCCCCCCATTTTTTCAGTGAATAATCTGCTGTTGTTTTTTACCACTCTGAATAGTACAATTCATGGGCTTAAAGACTCCGCCTATCCACCTGTTAGTTACACATTTGAATTCGGTTCAATATATAATGCTTGTGCTCACAAGCTACTCATGTTATCTAGGGTTCTATTCCTGACCGACGCATTCTACCTAACCTCACTTAGCAGACAGTAAACTCGGTAAAGACGGAAAATAACACAAAATGATAGGTGAAATTCACAGGTAACAAAATCAATAACAAATTGTAACACATACTTACTTTAAACCTTGATCTGATAATAAACAGAATAGAAACTCTTTCGCTTTGAGTAATACAATAATTGGTCCAGTATAATCAAATGTTAATTCCAATATCCTGAAATTATAAAAGAAAAGACCAGGAAAAATTGAAGAAATGTAAACTATTTGTAGAGGATGGTATAATGACAGAACAGTAGGGTACAGCAGGTTGAAGATGAGGTAGTAACTCATCGAAGAAGACATTGTGAAATGGTGGCGCTATGTCGTGAATTGGCAAAAGTTAGAATCCAAGAACCATTGGATCGGGTCCCAGTGGCTCAACGGTCTATGGGCTAGCTCGCCTTGTAACCAGAAGGTCCTTGGTTCGAACCCCGGTGGGTGCGTACTGCTGGAGAGTCCCAAACTAGGACGAAACAGCTGTCCAGTACTCCCAGGTTTTCCAGTGGTTCTCTAACTGATGTCAGCTCATGATGAAATCCCCCACGTAATGACAGAAAACTTAAAGATGAGTGGGGCTGAAGTACAACTACTCGTGTTGTACATTGATTGTTAACAGGGGAGTGGGTGAAGAGAAGGGGTGGAAATAAAATCCCAATAACAATGTAGACTATGAGTGCTATAATCTTTCAAACTCAAAAAATTAATTAAGTAGAAAGAATTATAAAAAGAACAAGAATGATCATTTAACGTTGCACTTAATAAATTTGTGCATCGACGGTTTAATGGTAGTGTAAAGACAGATTGTTTACTGAGAAAATCAAGAGGTATTTATAAATTCTTTTGTACATTATTGTTAGCGGAAAAGCGACGTCTTCTGATTGGCTGTTTTCTTGCTGAAGGTTATTCTGTTATCTCTTTGTGGCCGTTTCTCAGAAAATCAAGCCATATATCTGCGAATCATATTTCCACACGTTAACTCCTCTGTGATTGGCTGGTGATTGATTTTCTCAAGGTTAAGCTTTGTTATTGTTTTTTCTCATGACCCCGATTCGGGAGGTGAACATTGACGTAAATTGTTGTCTACAATTTTGGCTTGCCAGCCAGCTATCACCACATTAGGACGGTTACCGACTCCTAGCTGACGCACTCCTTAAATGTCACCAAGTTTACTAGAAAACAGTAATCCTAGATATGAAGTGAAAGTTGTTAGATGTGAGCCCAGGTATCCCACCCACATAAAATAAAACGACATCACTGCTACTGGACCGTCAGAGAAACATAAAGCCTTATGTTACATTTGGAAAGTAACTAATGAAAAATGAATTTTCAAGTGTTGGTTTGTAGGGATTTGATTGGTTACAGGATTTCATCATCAGCTAACATTGGTTAGAGAGCCATTGGAAAACCAGCTGGGAGTACTATACAACTGTTTCGTCCTAGTTTGGGACTCTTCATCAGTACGCACACAACGGAGTTCGAATCCGGGCCCTCCGGGTTACAAGGCGAGCTCGTAGACCGTTGAGCCACTGGGACCCGATCCAATGGTTCTTGGATTCTAACTTTTGCCAATTCACGACATAGCGCGACCCTTAGCCAATGTTTTCGACGAGTATTTGTCCTCACACTCGACCTGCCACACTCTACTGGTCACGACTTCTCACCAGAACCCCACACTAAAATGAATTGTGAAATAAACCAACTTGATGGAATACATGTTGTTTCCATTCAAGTCATATTACGATCAACCTTCGAAAATGAAACTGTTAATAGACTGCAATGAAATACGGGGATCTGAACTTTATCTTATATGAGATTTGTCAAGTGATGAATGTACTTGCATCCCAATTAAGAATGATATTTTTACTAGGAATCGAACCTAACAGTGGTAAGTTTTTGAAAATTTAAGTATAATAACGCTCGACTAATAAGCAAAGATAGCCGTCGCCAATTGGGTATAGAAATAATAGGCTAAGGAAAATCAAGAGCAGAAAATAGTAAATATCACAATAAACATGATTTGCCTTCATTTTATATCTGGGATAAATGTGTTTAGAGTGTATACACACAATTGTGTAGCTTTTTAGAGTGACAACATTAGAATGATGAAAAATAAGATGAAAGAAACTGAAATGTTACCTCAAGTTTGATCGCGGATTGACTTCACTTAGAAGACTATTGAAAACTAGGGAGTACAGAGCAGCTAGCTGTTTCGACCTTGTTTGGAACTCTTCGGGATTGGCAAAAGTTGGAATTAATGAGCCAATTGTTGTATTCTATCCCAACGGCTAGATGGTCAATGAGCTCACCTTAAAACCTGAAGGACCTGGGTTCGATCCTCCATGCGTTCGCTAAAATTGGAACGATTAACGAAGAGTGAGTCCCCTACATGAAATCACAAAGTGTCCTGTATATCTTATCGTCGACCATATCGTGTTGAAAGAACCGATTCTCGTCCAATAACCGAAGTTAAGCAATGTTGTGTCCAGTCAGTACTTGGATGTACGAATGACTGGGAGCACTGGGAGTGGCTGGACAGGATCAGGGGTTTCAATACAGGAGGTAGGTATACACTGATTCACTTTCAACAACCCACTTTTGTGGCCTATTGCATAATTCTTTGACGTTTGAAGCTACATGTGTTGTGTCCCACTCTCAGTAGTAAAACGACCAGTCACTGAGGATGCAGGCACACTTAGGTTAAAATACGCATTTCAGATTCCACTGCTAGCCACCATTTGTCATTTTCACTTAACTGGACAGCATCTAGTCAACTACAAACTGCACAGATGAGGATGTTAAAGCTAACCAGAACTGGGAAAGCAAGATAGGCGGTCATTACTCTGAAATCTATGATGAGAACAACATCCGAATTTTCAACACTAATATCAATTCGCTCAGTGCTTATATCTATGGTTCATAGACTTGAATTGCTCTTGGTGAAAAGCATTTCCAAAACAGGCTACTGCTGACTTTCATCAACGAGTGACTTCGCTCAATGGTACTGAAAATCAGATATCCGGAGACAATATGAGCGACAAGGAACTCTGACGGTTAGTTAGCCATTGTCCACCCAACAAAATGTACAGAAGGTGAAAGTGATAAACTGGACATACTCTGAGGAGGCGTTTAAGTTACATCACATACCAAGCCATTGGATGGAACCCGAATAAGAATAGACGGGTTCAGTGTTGGAGAGAGAGAGAGACATGGAGATGTTGTTGGGGAAGTCTTGAAGTTAGCTGAATGCGATAACAAAGAACTGAATGCAATGATGTGTCCCCTCAAGCCCTATGTCCCACTCGGAATCCAAGGCATGAAACTTCAAGAAATTTATTTATTTCTTCTTTTCTGAAATCATCGATGGTTATACATAATGAATATTAACTACTAAAGACTTATATTCAAGTATTAGTTCATAGGGATTTGATTGGTCTCAAATTTGATCAGGGATTCATATTAGTTAGACAACCACTGAAAACCAAGGAGTTACTCAAATCCTTTCAAACTAACACTTGGAAATTAACTAGGATGAAGTTGTCAGAAGGACTAGTGAGAAGTCATGATCAGTGGCGTCCACTAGGTCGAGTGTGAGGACAAATACTCACCGATGGAACTGACTGGCAGTCACGCTACATATACGACAAATTTATAGGAGTTTCTATTCACGAGTCATCGAATTCCATCCCAGTGGCTGAATGTCCATCAGTCTCGCCTTGTAACAAGAGGGTACCTGAGTTCGATCTCTAGCCGCGGGATCATGAGTGTGTAATGCTGAAGAGTCTCAAACTAGTACGAAACAACTGCCTTGTACTCCCTGGTTTTCAATGGTTCTCTAGATGACATCAATACGTGATCACATTTAAAGATTTTTGATTTTATTTTACTCATACTAAATGATTAAATATTAAACTATAAATCCAGTAATAATTAAAAACTTGCAACAAAAACAACAACAACATCAAAATACAATGTAAACAAACTATAAACAATTAATTACCTTGTCAAACTCATACCATGAGAAGTACTATTGTACAGACAATGTAAATGTGACAATTGCTCCTGAAATATCCATACACGCACGCACACACACACGCGCGCGCAAGAATGGATATATTAACGGAGAATGGATGAACCTACACATTCCAATGGTTTTGTATGCAATAGACAATTATTAGGTATACGTTTATACGGATAAGTTAAACACGTTGAAAACAGCCATAATAGATCCATGGTTAAGATGCCACTACTACATTGTTTGTATGGATTGAAATCTGACTAGAAATATGTTTTTTTCTTATTAGTATTACAACAAAGAAGATCTTACAAGGTTAAAGGAATGATTATCATTTAAGTATTGCAGTAGGATAGTTGTCAAATCAGTACAAATATCTTGACATTTACGTTTCAGTGAAGTGATTAACTCATCACATTTGTATAAACCATCTTGATTCTAAAAAGAAAATAAAGAAATAAAGAAAAACATAAAAGAGGAAGAAGAAGTAAAGAGACAAAGTTATTCATCTTGAAAGACGATTCTAGTAGAGTTGCATCGCCTGAGTTGACCAGATGCTCAAGAAGTGAGCTAGTAATTGTTTTACACTAACTGTCCTCTTGTTAATCATACCGGATAATGTTCAGAAATGCGTTTGGAAAGTGTACGCTTTTTGTGATCAATATAACTAGTTCCATAGAAGCAAGTGAACTTAGAAACACACACACACACACACATAGAATTGGTCCGAAGTGGCAGTTTGTCTTTCATAAATCCATTAAACATTGACCGACTGTAGAAATCTATCTGTAGTTCAGCTGAAAAGAAAGATTTTCTCAGTGTTCTTAACGGGCGGTTCTTTAGAATCTCAGCTGCGATATCACCTTTAAATTCAACATTCATAAACAGTAATTTCTTCGGTACTGTTTAGATTCTTTCAGGCTTCTGCTTTACTTTCATGTTTTTCTCGATGAATCTTGCAGGATATTCATTTTTAATGAGGATTTGTTTAGGTCTCTCCAGTTCATTATCGATTGTATCACTCGTGCATATCCTTCGTATTCTTGAACGTAAGGAGTTCGGGGGTGTGCGAACTGTGTAGATTGCACATTGCTAGCCAATACGCAAAGTTTGAATTTTATTTTTGGTATCACCAGTTCGCTCAAGTAGCTAGTCAGAAGTCGTGTAGCTTGAACTGATTCAGCTCTCTGAGCTGCTTCAAACCGGGTACACTGATGATAACCTCGTTCCCAAACGAGCAAAACGGCTGTCTGGGGTGTTTAGATCATGGCTGCCGGTAAGCACTAATAGTTTATATGAGTGGTATACAACTACTCATCTTAATGAATCAGTAGTATATAGTTCTTTTTTACAAATGAGATATATAGCGTAAACAAATAAAGGTCTATCAGACTTTTAAGGTTTATTAGGTTTAGAACAATGTTACACGCATCGTAGCCAAATATACTTGACAATTAATCTATCACTGAATGACTTCGAGATCTGACTGTACTCTGTGCATAATTGTATTTCGGCGACTAAGTATGAATGACACATTACAACCATTATTACACATACGTCTAGCACGATATAAAGTGGTTTACATGACCTGAGGAATTAGTTGTAAGGTATAAGTATAAAACATGGGCACTGTGGTAGAGTATAACTCCATTATGGGTGAGATTTTATTTTGATAAATCACACAGTGTTATGCAGGAATGTTAACTGATGACCACGTTTCGAGCACAAACCTATTGCCACCCATAATCATATCAAGTTACTCACACAACGTTTTTTTTCATTTATATACATGTGTGGAATCGATTAGACATTTGAATAAAAATCAATGTAGGATAATGTACATTCGGAAATAATAATAATATGATTGTTATTGATCAATTACAATCAGATGGAACATAAGACGAGTGTCTTTTTTATAGCCAGCATAAGTAGCTTGTTAGAATGTTGTGATGTGCTTGAATTGAAATAGAATTGTGAGATTATTTATTATCCTCTTCTGATTTAACTGAGTGGTGGTAATAATCTCTTCCATATTTTTGGAATTTGCATTGAGTCATTTCTGTTGCATGTGCTGGGTGCAAACTCAATGAACCAGGCAGGATTCAGTAATCAATCTCTCTCTCCACCTACCTAGATTACTTCTTACAATCTTAACCCTCTCCGTCGGGGGTAATTAGATTGTCGGAACAGAAGAATTTAGCTAAGGTAAGAATGGTTGACCCCAAGAAGATGAGTAATTTACAAAAAAGCTCAACAATTGCACTACATGCATTAACACAAAACCACACAATAGGGTGGAAGAGGGTTAAGATTCTAAGAAGTAATCTAGATAGGTGGAGAGAGAGAGATTGATTGCTGAATCCTGCCTGGTTCATTGAGTTTACACCCCACACATGCAACAGAAATGACTCAATGCAAATACCAGAAATATGGAAGAGATTATTACCACCACTCAGTCAAATCAGAAGAGGATAATAAATAATCTCAAAATTCTATTTCAATTCAAGCACATCACAACATTCTAACAAGTTACTTATTATAACTATAAAAACACTCATCTTATTTCCCATCTGATTGTATTTGATCAATAACACTAATATTATTATCTCTGAATGTACATTATCTCATATTGAATTTTATTCCAATATCTAATCAATTCCACACATGTATATAAATGAAGGAAAAAAGTTGTGTGAGTGACTTGATATGATTATGAGTGGCAATAGTTTGTGCTTGAAATGGCACCAGTTAATATTACTGTGTAACACTGTGTGATTTATCAAAATAAAATCTCATCCATAATAATTGTAAGGTAATAAAACTGATAATACATGAAAAAAGTGGAGTCGTAGCTCATTGGCTTAGGTACTGGACTTCTAACCAAAAGGTTCCCCAGTTAGAATCGTGTTCCACATACTTCAGCCTGGGCAACTAAGTGATATTATCAGTTCTTATACACCTGTCCCAGGAATTGAGTTCACACGACAACTGACAGAAATAAATAGGATATAAATCTAAAAATTTGATTAAGTAGTGACAATCTAGTACAACTAAAGGTGAGTAGACTTCCATACTCCTTTAGAGATGCCCTCATGTCACCAAGCGTTCATAGTCTTTACTAGATAAGCCAAATTCACTGCCTCCATACCCCATGGGTGTTACTTACAAAAGTAGTAGGGTGCATGCGAACGTCTGCCGCTTACAACCAGACTGGTAGACATCCTTGTCCAGCTAAGGAAGCTGCAAAACCTTTATTCCAAACATAAGGTGTATACGGGCTGCAGAATGTGAAAGGATCGAATGGTTAATAAACCTGGTTTGCTCACCAGGCACCATGGGAACGTAGTTCCTCATACTTCTGCACTGTCTTTTGGATTAGACTTTAAGTCAAAGGTTAGGATAGTGGTTCCCTTAAGACAAGCACATGCTTCAGCTAAGGCATCTAGGTAGTAGCTCAGCCCTCACACAAACTATGAGATTCGGTGCGGTGCACCAGTTGGTGTTAATAATTTACAAAATGGGACTTTGTGACCAGTAGGGTGCAGCAGGTCGAGTGTGAGGAAAAATACTCGCTGAAGACATTGGCTAGTGGTCGCGCTATGTAGTGAATTGGCAGAAGTTGGAATTCATGGGCCATTGGATTGGGTCTCGGTGACTTAATCGTCTACGAGCTCGCCTTGTAACCAGGAGGTCCTGGGTTCGAACCCCGGTTGCGTACTGACAAAGAGTCCCAAACTAGGACGGAGGAAACAGCCGTCCAGTACTCCTAGCTGGTTTTTCAATGGTCCACTAACCGATATCAGCTGATGATGAAATCCTGTAACCAATCTGTCAAATCCCTACAAACCAATACTTGAAAATTTACCAAGTTACTGTTTTAATCAATAATAGATGAGATAAATAGTGACAAATAACTTACCGGAGGTAATATAGAATTAACTATCAATTGCCATGTCTCTGACTGTAAACTTCTTCCCAATGTAAACCATTTAAATAATATTTTGATATCTTTAAAATAATCAGCAATAAAAATAAAATGACTTCTTGCCTGATTCATTCAGTGTATCACTTTTAAATAATTTGATAAATATCGTCAATTTGTCTTGAGAAGAAGATAGGCAATCAATGATACTTTGATACTGGTCAATATCCATGGAAGTATCAACATGATCATGTTTAAAATAATTCCAAAGAAGATTGGATAAATCGTAAAAGCATGGATTGAATTTAGCCTATGCATACCAACAGTAGAACTTAAGTTATGTATGAATAATACCTGAAACGCATCCTTGGAAATAGTCAGTTTGTTGTTCTGAGCACAATAAACGTGTAAATTAGAGATCACTTACAGAATACTCAAATCCCTTGTAGGATTTAGCTGGGTTGTGGTTGGCATTTGCCTCACTTTGACTATTAGTATTACCCATGATTGTTGAAACCTAAAGGGAAAGAGAATAAATATTACAGCGCACTCTTCAGGAAGATAATTATGAGGACTGTAAAACCATTTGACACAGTATCTAATAATCTCAAGAAGTTATCTATTTCTTGGATATTTCAATGACTAGGAGAGATGATGGAACGATTTAGCGATCTATATTTCGTAAGCACACGGAGTGGTTAATAACTTTATTTCACCAGTATAAACGTTTGTTTGTTTTCAAGGGCCTGTAAAATATGTACGAGCAACACATTGCTGGATGAGCTTCGATACATCCATTCAGTTTTATTAGCTAATGGTTATCCAGAGGACTTTGTCAGTTGCCGTGGAGGGGATAGACCACATATTGAAAAGACAGCTTCTGTACCAAAGAAGGTTATCCTCACTAACCTACCATTCAAGAGTGATCAAATTATGCAGTTGACAGCGCAGACTTCGGTTAGCCATCAAGCGCATATTCTATGCCGCATCTCTTTCCCTCACATCTTGAACATTTTTGATCCCTGTACCTACGATTAAAGGGAGAAATTCTGTGGACTCTAATTCAAACTGTATCTACAAGTTCACCTGCGGTTGCGGTGACACCTATTTAGGTAGAACCAATAGAATGTTCCAATGTTGTCGAAAAGATCATGTTTCAAAATGGTTATTCCAATACAATTAATCTAAATAGAAATCCATCATCATCCATTGCAAAGCACTTATTAATGTCAGGTCACAAAATCAATATTAATGACTGTTTCACAATTATTTCAAATAACTCTAATTCAAGGCTACTGAAGGTGATGGAAGCACTCACATAGATGCTAAACTATGCGTACAACAAACAATTGACTTCAACGTTTGCCTACTATGGACTGCTTGACATATTTAAATATGATTGATCATTAGTATATATGTAACTGAGTAGTTGTCATGCGTTTTATTTTATTATTGTGAACCAAGCAAGCTGTAAAGCGATTTTTGAGAAACTGCGGAATGAAATTTGTCTTCTAAATGCCTTATTATTCAAATTATTCATTGTTTTCATTAAAACACAAATTTGTTACATTATAGGCATCAAAAGATGTGCCATACAAAACCCTATAGTTTGTTTAAGGGCTATGGTACTGCCGAGACTCCCAGACCGAAGCAGGAGGTTCCCTCAAGAGAAAACACCCCGAGCACTTGACTTGAATTCTGATCCACAACTTAGTGGAGCAGCGTCCCCATATTTACCTGTGATCAAGATAAGTTCATACACCATTCTATCCGTTTGGACTCTGGAGCCCAGTTATGACATCGATTTGCAAACTTTTCCGACTCGCCCAAAGTAGACTGCTGCATGTCTAGACGTTCGTTTGTGGAGAACATCCCCGCCTAGTAAAGGCACTGAATAGGACTTATTTGGCAGAGGCTATGAACACGCAAGCAGATTACAGCGTTTTGCGAGGAAGACCGTAGTCTACCCTCCCAGGGTAGTACCAGGTCATTCATATTACTATATCTAGTGAAGTATAAAAAACACTAATCAGAAAGACTAACAGTTATTGCTTTGATGGATAGGACAAGCCTTTATTAGCTTTAAAATAATGACCAAAGTTCTCAGGTCATCCTCTGAGAAAAGGGATCTACTCAATGATTCCCACCCTTGCTTCATGACTTACTCCCACCTGTTAAGTGTTAAGCCTTTTACAGTCAAGACGAGAACTGCGTTATAATATGATAATAAACCATGATCCATAGTGAATTTCATATGTTTGGTTTCACCTATATGAGCAAATGAACACATTTTTAGAAGTTATTTGGTACAGATTTTCCATATACCCAGCTGAGTTAATGGTACTACCCACATGTCCAGGCTGAAGTAAGATTTTAACCCAGGAATCACTGGCTAGAGTCAATCGCTAAAGCCAATAAGGATATGGGAAAACTCCAAAGACTTAGAACGATTGCCAACAACTCATCCCAAGACCCATGAAAATACATGCTTTGTATTGAATAAGACTGAAGAAATATGACTCTTATGAAACTTTTGCACAATTAGTGAGATTTTTTCGCAATAGTCGAATTATTTGTACAATCCAATTTGTAGTATAACAGTATGCCAGGATATGTTCGAACTTCGGGGCACTATCAAGGAGAATGTATATTTTTGCTGTCAGTGTTGGTGATATTTCTACTTTCAAAGTGGTGAAAAACTCAACTCCATAAAGCTTGAAGTTGTGAGCATCTAACATCCGTCTGTGCAACTTCAGTGTTGATGGAGTTATATAAAAATCCATTTTCAGATAACTTGTTATCCCCGTTGGTTTGTGAGCATTTATATAAATACCTTCTCTAAAGATATTGAGTTTCTTTATCCTCCATATGGCAGTCAGCTACACTGTTAACTACTGAAAACAATTGTTTAACTGCGTCAGTAGAATGTACAATTTTTCAGTAATCATAGGACAATTAGGAATGACCAAAAGACGTCCCATTCTGAACATCTATTGGTTCATAAGCATAACAAAACTTTACTATTAATTATTTTAGACAATGTGTTAACAAGTAATTGCATAATTTACGGATGTGATAAGAGCATGAGAAAAGACAGTTGTATTGTTGTAATTATGAGCTAGATATTATGCACCTCACTGTTAGTTGCATCATAATGTCGATTTATGTTGATTCGCTTCAAGTTAGACCGAATAGGTCATGCATGCAGCAGCTGGGAAGTCAAACTCCGACTTACAAATCATAGGTTACAGTTTTCAGATGCTGATACCTTCTGAATACACAGAGCTTAATTCAACAGATATCACTGTGCTTTTGTGTTTTCCTTCAACGTGTGAATATTAGGATGCTGCTGATAATTCCGTTATACTGTGTAAATTCCTAACCTAAACAAGCATTTATCTACGTTCAGAACAAAAGTATTTTGTTTATTCTGAGACACTATAAGAAGAGTGCATGGAAGACTCATAACTGACTCATACAGATGATGCAACCTGGACTGTAACTAAGTGCAAGGATATTTAAAATGTACTAAATCTGAAGACGTAACTAATCGAGTTTATACTTTTGACAGATACTTCTAAGAATACTGACAGCGGCAGCTCACAGTTAAGGAAGACATTATTACTGGGCACAAAGTGTAAAGTGGATAACTACGACTAACTTTATGCGTTACTACTCTTATGTCATCGGGTGAAGACAAACTATAGCAACCAACAATGTCCCTAAACAAATAATTTGAATAAAGGACCGTAAAAACCCCATGAGTTTGTTGATGAATTGCATATTTAAACACTAAGACTGCTTAGTTGCGTGACTACTTTTTACCACACCTAATGTAACCCTTAACCCCAAACTTAGCCATATTCCTAACTCTTAATCCTAATCTAACCGTTAAACTTAACAACAGACACTGAAAATTAGGTAGGTCAGATCAGTAGGAAACTCTTGAAGCAAAAGTAACAATGCATTCATGACTAGTCAGACGATTGTTTGTTAAACGATGTTTGGTGGCTGTTATAGTTTATATTCATTTGTCGCTGAATGAAGACTGGGTAGAAGGCGAGAGGCGTGCGCAACTCCAAACTAGTGCGACTTACGTAAGACGTGATTGAAATGCAATACCAAATCCCACTCTTTCAACGCTTCCAATTATATCTGTTTATAATAAGTCAGCTCCATAATAATCCGATGTTCTCAACAACTACCTCTCAAGCATATTGTGCATGTCAACAAAGTATCTACTTTTCCTTGTATATCTCAAGATTTATCCCACTTTTGAGGTGCTAATGAAAAATTTCTCTGGGTGAGTCACTTCATGATGCAAATGCAAAAAAGTCGCATAATCGATGGAAAATGCAGTAAATAACATTGTGGGCACGATATTATACTATATTGTTGTTAGGTAGGCTTACCTAAGCTTTTATAACAGTATACATTTGCAGAAAAAGTACCTAGAGAATGTGGGTTACTTTATCTGTCTTCTCCAAATCCGAAAAGGGCAACAGTTAAGAATAGACACCAAAGCCAAATGACCGTGAATTTACCAATAAAACGGCTAGACATTACACGTGGAAGATGTTCATAATCTTCGCTGCGAATTTAAATTAGATGTTTTAATAGCAATAATACGACTAGTCCTAGGCAATACCATTCATACACTCGATTGGAAGGGTTATTCGTAACAATAATAATTAAACTACACTCAAACATACTTACGAATTAGTAGATCCTATAAGTGGAAATCATAAGATTCTATTGAAGGATTCTGGGCGCGCCTAAGAAACGTATTATAATAGTAAATGGTTCCCGATATGATATGAAATACAGCCACTTAGATCTTTTGTATCCACATTGTTTTTATATGTCTACAGATACTCCTGTGAGAAACTGGGACCAGCTTTTACAGCATCTTAGAGATGTATATCCTGTATAATTCAGTTTTATTACAAATATGCCCTCTAAATACACTTTTTTCTAAATAAATGCCACTTTCCACCTTACAGAATATAATAGGTATATTCAAGGTCATTTGGCTTTGGTGTCGATTCTTTACTGTTGCCCCGAAAAGGCAGGCATCATCCGACTTGGGATAACCTTTCATAGCATTCCCTGTATATGACTGGTTCTTGAAAGTAAACTTTTGAAAGACTTTGGCTATGACACACTAACTTCTCCCAATACTCATATTTCATCATTGTAGAGACAGGAATCTAGGCCTTCAGATGCAGTGAAACTCTGTCAGTAGTTCAATATATTTCGTCGTAGTTACAAAATTTTGTGACTACGACAGAATATATTGGAGTATTTTGGAGTTGTAATACTCTAAAAGTAGTGTCATACTTAACTACTTGGTAGCATTCACTATCAAATTATTTTTCATGAAAAATAGAAGTAGACAGAAAATTCACAGAACTACAATGAACACACTACAATGCTACCCGTAATTATATATAAACATACAATTTTATTTATTATACATGTTGATGCCTGTTGCATGACTCATGA